GGAAAAAAATGCCCTCCAAACAGGGGCTAATATTAGTATCTACTTTCAGGTGTATTTATGTAGTATTATTTTAAATATTAAAAAATTTAATTATAGTACGGAACCGAACGGAATCGAACAGGACCGAACCGAACCCGACCCGAACGGTTCCAAAATTATATTTGGAACCGACGGTTCCATTTACTAAAGAACCGAAAATTTCTGGAACCGAAAAAAATAAAATCGAACCGAATCGAACCGTGCCCACCCCTAGGCAAGACACCTCGACCACCCCAAACGGTGCCCACCCCCATACGGGGGTGGTCCGCGCTCGAAGCTGGACCTGGTAGTTTGGTAGACGTTCATGCACGCACTCAGGCCTCTGTCCATATGTTCCGACAACTTCTAACCACCTTTTAGTCTCTGTTTGTTTCTCATTTTTCATCCATAAAAATGAAAAATATGACATTTATCCATCACAGCAAACAATCAATTTTGAATTTCTATATCTTGTATGGGGTCCAATAACGACTATATTTTTCATTCTCATTCTACAATAATGAGAAACAAACAGGCCCTTAGATTTCCACCTTAATTTAAGAGATAGAGGAGGGAGTGGACATTTGAGGGGTGAGATAGAAGATGAAATTAATTTTTTTTAATTATCTTTTTTCGTTCTAATTTTGTACTTATTCTATCTTAAGTTTGACAAATTAGAAATAAAACGAATGTGAAATACACGTGCAAAATTAACGTAAAAAGTGGAACAATTAATCAGTTAATGGCATAGGTTTGGGACCTCATCACCAAATTTGAAAGGCTTGGGCGAAAAATGAAAGAAGGAAAAAGGTTTGGGACCATCTGCATCAATTTCCCAAATCAAATCTAGGAATGACAACAAGAGGAGTATGAGATTGGTCGGTCATTCTCATCCCCTGTTTCGTTGGATATTTTGTCACTTTGTCCATTTTTCATATCCGGTTAAAGTGGGTCGGGGCGGGGACGTCCTGTTTATTTTTTATTTTTTAAATATCTTTAGTTAGTAAATATTATTATTATTATTATTATTATTATTATTTTCAATTTGTTAAGAAGAGTCACGTTCTCTTTTAAAATGATGATAATTTTTTTTATTTGATTAAAAACTTAAATTTAAAATTAGCTTTAAAAGGGATGGATAGGAGGACAGAAACTATGTTTTTCGCACCCACTTCAAGGCAATGACCCCGCACCATTCCATGCCGTTTACCCGTGGATAGTCCCCCAAATATCGAGTTGGACGAATATTTTGGATTTTCTTAAAACAAAAGGTGGGCATGTTATTATGGGAAACAACATGACCTGTAAAGTAAAAGGCATTGGTACTATTAAACTTCTTTTGGAAAATGACAGAGTTTTACTTTTAAAAGGGAATGTGCACTTAGCATAATTCTTTTGAATTATAAATAAACAAAAATGAGTTATGAATAAATGAATAGTATTTCTGTGTTCTACGAAATATATAGATAATAAATAATTTGATCGATTACAAATAATTTATAAACATTAGCCAAATATGGATAGACAACCTATATTACAATCAAACATATATGCAACTCGCTAGAAGTCTAGAACGACAAAGAACTCGTATTTTTTTGGTTTCTCAATTTACGAATATCTACTATAATTGGTATTTAAGATATATTACAATTAACTCTTTTTTTTTTAAGTTCCTTTTTTTGTGATGGCTAATAAATTTGATCAACCGGAGCGAAGCATGGATTAAAATGACGTGACTAACCAAACTGGGTGTCGAAAATCTACCATAAAGGGAGGAAAAAAGAGTCAGGCAAAAAGACACCTCGACCACCCCAAATGGTGACCACCCCCATAGGGGGTGGTCCGCGGTCGAAGCTCGACCCGCTAGTTTGGTAGACGTTCATGCACGCACTCAGGCCTCTGTCCATATGTTCCGAGAACCTCTAATGACCTTTTAGATTTCCACCTTAATTTAAGAGATAGAGAAGAGGGAGTGGACTTTTGAGGGGTGACATAGAAGATGATTTTTTTTTTTTTTTTTAAAGTAATGTTATTCATCTCCAGTGTGTTTATTATCTTTTTTTCTTTTTAATTTTCTACTTATTTTATCTTGAGTTTGACAAATTAGAAATAAAATGAATGTGAAGTACACGTGCAAAATTAACGTCCAAAGTGGACCAAATTCAGATAGGATTTTAAATTTAATCATGTTACATGTAAATTTTATTTGACATCATTTTTGACATTGTGCTACGTAACATTATTGGATAGTGTTTTTTTTAACACTTTTCCACTTAAACACTTTTTGAATTCTCAACCAATGTCAACAAAAGTGTATAATATTAAATGTGTGTCTTAGCATAATTTTTTTGAATTATAAATAAACAAAAATGAGTTATGAATAAATGGATAATATTCCTGCGTTCTAGGAAATATATAGATAAAAAGTGATTTGATCGATTACAAATAATTTATAATCATTAGCCAACAAACTGTACTTAACGACTTCGGAGGTCGGCTGTTAACAAAGAGTATAGCGAAATGTAAAACAAAAATGATATCATAAATAAGAAATGCTAAAAAATTTCTTTTACAATACATATTATAAAAAATTGTTGACAAACTTCTTCTGTAGCATTCACTTGGTTGGTATTTGGATCCCATGTATCTCCCATATGTCCTAAAAGGTTAGAGAACAAGCGATGCACCTTACGTAAACGGTTCCACTTACCCTTCAATCTCTATATCCCGTAATCAGATTTTGTGGCAATAGTCGTCTCTTGACTGATCTTGCCCCAATTGTCTTTTGTAAACGTAGAACATTACAACTTTCCTACTTTCACATTGTAGTAAAGTATTCTAATAAAAACGTGTTTATTCTAATCGGACCATGACATTGTTACCATATTCTTACCTTTATGACCACCCATGTTCTATTGAATAAATATTAACCACTTACCAAAATATAACATAGCAGTAATGGAAAACTGGATATCCCTGGTTTTTTAACTTGTTAAATGCCATGTTGAAACAATGAAAAACCATTGGTCTTGCCACTTCTTTTTTGCATTCCTATCTAAAATCTAATTTATATGTAGAATTAGCATTAAACTAGCAGTAACCTTACTAATTCATGCCTATAAGCATTATGTTATAATTAATTTTTGTAATTAACAATAATACAACAGATGAAACCAAATTCTCTCGACAATCCTAGAATCAAAAGATACTTGTATCTGGTAAACCCTTGCATTACACCCATAATTGCTTCAATCTAATTTTCCTTGAATCTCAAAAAAGAAAATAACCAAGAAAGCAAGCCATTCGAATGATTTTCCCAACATTCATCTAAGAATTCCAGATCCCTTTCACAGAAGATCTGAACGAGTCAATCTTTTACACAGAATATGTAACTCTAACTATCCCAGATTAAAAAAAAGGCAGACTATAAGTTATACACACATATGTACGAGAAAGAACATTCGGAAAACAAGAAACTGGAAAATACAAAATCAATTGGAGAACACAAATATAATAGAGGTTTACATTATTAAGAACATTACAAGGTGAAAAGTGATTGAGTTTGTAGCTAAAGATGTCCTGTATATTGTGTACTTTTTACCTTGTTTCTGTATATTGTTGTGTTCTAGATGTTGGAAAATCACTGATAAATTCAATTATTCTTTGCAGACTAACGGTTAAATATTACTTTTCCCTTTAATATTACAACACTACAACCTCTCACAAGAGGATCTCGGGCCCCACCCCCTTATGAGAGGTTGTCACCTATTGCTGTAACCTAAAGTTGTATAAGCAGATTTACTTTTAGGTGTGTTTGAGCCACATTATTTTGAAAGAACGCATTTTGAAATAGTAAATTGATGAAAAATGTGTGGTTGAAAAAGAAGGATAAGTTATTGGTGTGATGGAAAATATTATTTTATTGAAGAATGTGTGGTTGAAAATGAGTAGAAGAATGAGGATGAAAAAAATAATGTGACTCAAACAGGAACGTAATATTATGTTCGCCAAGTATATTGGTAGGACTTGATAGTTCTTATTTGGTACACATTTTTTCAAAACTCATTTTCAACCACACATTTTTCAATAAAATAATATTGTCCATCACGTCAATAATTTTTCCTTGCTTTTTAACCACATATTTTTCATCATATCACTATTTAAAATACATATATATTACTGACTATACACATAACTAGTTACCAAGTAAAATTTTTAATGAATTTGTTATATGTACATCAAGTCTTACATAATGTCATGATTGCACAATTTAAATTACAGTTAATTTTTTCATCCAATTATTTCACCTCACGTCATTGTTTGGCACGCTTCCTGAATGTTATTTTTCAAAGCAAAATTCAAAATTTAATTTGCACGTTGACTTTCAAGATGGTGACTGATTGCCGACTTTTTCACGTTTATCAACTGATTGTAGACTTTTTGCTCCAAGATCATACGTCATACATGATCAAAGTACCCTCTCATATCAAATTTCATAATATTGGTTCTTAATTTTGACTTTTACTTTTCCTGCCAGGCGTACCACCGCCTCGTAGATTAACGGCTAAATACATTACTCTAGATTAGGTGAATGAAACACCGTGCCGTAAACAAAAAAAACTTAGCCACGGCAGGGCCCCACCCCGTTATCTCACTGCCTACGTCGTTCACGAATCCTTCCTGGAAGAGTAGTATTTGATTACGTGCATGTTTGCAAAATTAATAATTAAATTTCTAAATAAAAATAGACAAACATGCACTATATATATAGATGTGTTGATGTTTAGTAGAAACCAATTCTCTGAATTTCTAAAGTTTGCTTAATTTGTGAAACTAGAGGAAAACTGCTTCTGGCAATGGAAAAATCACCAGAAATGGAGCACCCTGTAAAGGCTTTTGGATGGGCTGCCAAAGACACAACTGGGATTCTTTCTCCCTTCAAGTTCTCAAGAAGGTCAACTGGTGAGCACGATGTGCAGTTAAAAGTGTTGTATTGTGGGATTTGTCATTCGGATCTTCACAATGCCAAGAACGACTGGGGATTCACACAATACCCAGTTGTGCCCGGGCACGAGATTGTCGGGGTGGTAACAGAGATTGGTAACAAGGTCGAGAAATTCAAGGTTGGAGACAAAGTAGGCGTTGGATGCTTGGTCGGATCATGTAGGGAATGTAATTCATGTAACAAAGATCTTGAAAATTATTGTCCTAAACAGGTACTCACCTATGGCGCAAAGGACACCGACGGCACCTTCACGTACGGTGGTTTCTCTGATATTATGGTGGTTAATGAGCACTTTGTTATTCGCTGGCCAGAAAACTTGCCCTTGGATGCTGGAGCTCCGCTCATGTGCGCCGGGATTACAACTTATAGCCCGCTCAGGCACTACGGGCTCGACAAGCCTGGATTGCATATCGGCATAGTCGGGCTTGGGGGACTCGGCCATGTGGGGGTGAAGTTCGCCAAAGCATTTGGGGCTGAAGTTACAGTTATTAGCACATCTATCAATAAGAAGAAGGAAGCAATTGAAAAGTTAGGTGCAGACTCGTTCTTGGTTAGCCGAAATGAAGAGGAAATGAGAGGTGCAGCTGGAACATTAGATGGGATCATTGATACTGTTTCTGCCGTTCACTCCCTTTCGCCATTATTGAGTTTGTTGAAGACTGATGGAAAGCTGATCATGGTTGGTGCACCGGCCAAGCCACTGGAGGTTCCGATTTTCCCCCTTCTATCAGGGCGGAAGGTGGTGGCTGGCAGCATGATTGGAGGACTGAAAGAGACACAGGAGATGATTGATTTTGCAGCCAAACACAACGTATTGCCGGACGTGGAGATCATCCCGATGGATTACGTCAACACTGCGATGGAACGATTACTCAAATCCGATGTCAAATATCGATTCGTGATTGACGTCAAGAAAACATTGAGAGCCGAATAATTGTGCTGTGTGGCAAGAGAAGTTACATGTTAGGCATTTTTTGCTTGCCCAAAAGTGAATTTATGTGTTTGAACAAGGATTTTTATTCCATTACTATCACCTTGTATTAAGAAATAATTATGTAATACTCTACGATAGATTTTCTATTTTTCTTTTCCAATTACAAAAGTTTGGAAATTGCTATATATGCTGGCATTGTATGAGACCAATTCATAATAATAAATAATAAATAATCCTTTCCTTTCTCCTCTGCACGTTGGCTGCTATATTCGCAACTAAAGCACGTTGACTGCTTGTGTTGATTATTTAATTATTTTATTTTACCATGGTATAAAATCGAAGCTTCATCGTATATTCGATAGATTGCTGTATGAAAATTTTCAATTTCTAATTACTTCATGCTCAACGTGTTCAAGACTCATAAATGGTCATCGATTCGTAGGTTCAAAATTAACAGTCATGCTTAAAAAATTGCAGCTCAAAATATAAGGATGCAATACAATGTGGTACCCAAAGGACAAAGAATTTAAAAGAAATCCTACACAAGTGGCTTGATATGATTGCTATAAAATATTTGTAGACTTTAGCCATTTGTTCATAAAAAAATCACTAGAATTTCATAGAAAAGAGACAGCAGTGGGTTCCACCGTGTATTTAAAAAAGAAAAAAAAATGTGCGAGCTCCACCCTTGTGTGAGTGTTCTGTTGCATTTCGTGTTTTAGTTTCTGTACATGTAACACATTCCATATTTGTATGACTTTTAGCCCCTGTTTGTCATCCATTTTATCAAATATTATTTGCTACAGTAAATAATCACCACCACACATTCACTCAATAAAATATTCTACACACAAATCAATAAAATTACTTTACTTTTCAACCTCACATTCTCCAAAATATACTATTCAAAACTCTATTTCTTCCCTCAAAATGGGAGGCAAACAAGCACTTAATACATCAAATGAGTACTAGTAATGATAGAAATGATTTTATGTAGTTATTTTATCATTAGACATGTTCAATCAAATTTGATGAAGGTCCTAAAGAAGTCGGCTAGTGATAAATTTCACGTTAATTAAATATTATAATATGAATTATGTTCTTAACATTAAGGTTGATAAAAGTTCAAATTTTAACTAACATCAAAATTCGTTATGCTCAAATGACTTGATTTGACTAAAATTCGAATTAGGACATGAATTTTAAGATCAATATTGTTAAACGAGTCACCATCCCGCAAAAGCATATGAAGAATAAGCCCCTGTTTAGTGGATATTAAAATCAGATTTTCAGTAAATTTTGATAAAAATTAATGAAATATGTGGTTGAAAAGTTGTAAGTCCTATAACTATATGGTTAAAATTAATTATTGAATTGAAATTAATATTTTAATTGAATTTTAATTCAAATCAAACCGAAGCTAAGTTTAAATAAACAATTCGATCCATTTAAAACTCGAATATTAATATGAATATTTTTAAATGAGCCACCGCCTAACCAGAAAATGTCAAGGAATCAGTATGTAAAAAATTAAAGTACTCATAACAAATTGTTAGGACCGATTAAGATGGACCAAAGTCTCAATAGCTATCCTTTTACCATTTGGATGTGAATTCTTCTACCACACAACACTTGTAAGAATTAAGATAACCATGCACCACGTAGCATGCACCGCCTGACAGCCTTAACACACCGACAACTCATCATCCCGATGAAACCATCCGAGTATTTTGTTATATATAGTACCGGTGTTGCTGATCAAGTAGAAACCATTCCTGTTATCTTCTACATTTCTCAATTTGTGTTTGATTTTGTTTCTGTTTGTGAGACCCGAGCTTGACCTCACCTCAAAATGGCAAAATCACCGGAAATGGAGCACCCAGTAAAGGCCATTGGATTGGCTGCTACAGACCCAAGTGGGATTCTTTCTCCTTTCAAGTTCTCAAGAAGGGCCACTGGCGAGCATGATGTGCAGTTTAAAATCTTGTATTGTGGGATTTGCCATTCGGATCTTCACATTATCAAGAATGATTGGGGTACCACACAGTACCCGGTCGTGCCAGGGCACGAGATTAACGGGGTGGTAACCGAGGTTGGAAAAATGGTGAACAAGTTCAAGGTTGGGGACAAAGTCGCCGTAGGATGTTTGGTCGGCTCGTGTCGGGAATGTGATCTTTGTACCAAGGATCTTGAGAATTACTGCAGTAAACAGATAATCACCTTCGGTTCCAAGGACGTCGATGGCACCACGACATATGGAGGGTACTCTGACATCATGGTGGTTAATGAGCACTTTGTTCTTCGCTGGCCAGAAAACTTTCCAATGGACGCTGGTGCTCCCCTCGTATGCGCCGGGATTACAACTTACAGCCCGCTCAGGCACTATGGACTGGACAAGACAGGATTGCATATCGGCGTTGTGGGGCTAGGCGGGCTCGGCCATATGGCCCTTAAGTTCGCCAAGGCGTTTGGCTCTAAAGTTACAGTCATCAGTTCATCTCCTAATAAGAGGAAGGATGCAATTGAGAAGCTAGGTGCGGATGCATTTTTGTTTAGCCGTAATCAGCAGGAATTGCAGGCTGCAGTGGGCACATTGGACGGGATAATTGATACTGTTTCTGCAGCTCACTCCCTCGCGGATTTATTAAGTTTGTTGAAGACTGATGGTAAACTGATAATGGTTGGTGTGCCGGAAAAGCCGCTAGAGCTGCCGGTTTTCCCCTTGCTTGTACAGGGGCGGAAGGTGGTGGCCGGCAGTGCGATTGGAGGACTGAAAGAGACACAGGAGATGCTTGATTTTGCAGCAAAACACAATGTATTGCCAGACGTGGAGCTCATTACCGTGGATTATGTTAACACCGCAATGGAGCGTCTGAAAAAAGCTGATGTCAAATATCGATTTGTTATCGACGTTGGCAACACAATCTGAAACCCGAATTACTGTGCTGAGCGCCATGGTTTCGTGAATCTGTCCATTGTAGTGAACTTTCTATTAGGAACTCGTGTGGTTGAGTAGGGATGCTTGTTTTTGTATAAATATAATCATGTTTCGGTAGCAAAATGAACTTTTGTAAGATGAAGGAAAATAAATAAATGGTTTTACGAGATTTTTCAACTCTTACTGACCCGACAAGTGTTAGTTAAAAGTTGCTTTCGAATTAAAAGGCTAGGTGTTTCGTCGGACTAGAAGAACTTTTAAAGAAAGATGACATAAAATAACTTTTTCAAGATCTCTTTTTACGAGAAGAAGAAGCGAAAATAGAAGCTCGCCAAAACGGACTCTCAAAGCTTGTAAAATAGTCTAAATGACAAGGTGTGGAACTGTATTCAAGGTGCTAAAGAAACAACTTCTTCTTGTGTACCTCATTTCGAGCTGGAACCTTAGTGCAACAACTTAACTTGGAAATAAACAAAGAAAAGTGTGTGAAATCTTCTTCTCCAAATACTGTGTTAAACTATATGAATACATTACACAAGATATATACGTAAGAATATCTAATCTCATCTTTGTTGTCCAGAATTCCCACTCTCAAAATAATAGTGACAAATTTGTCATCGGGTTAATACCCTAAATAGTCATTGAACTTTGTCAAAAGTTCCCAAAAGGTTACCAAACTTCAAAAGTTCTCTAAATAGTCACTGAATTTTGCAATAAATTCCTAGGAGGTCACTGAATTTCGTTAATACCCTAAATAGTCACCAAACTTTGCCAAAACCTCTCAAGAGATCATCGAACTTTGTAAATTAAGACCCCATACATCAATGGTTCATTGATCAATTAGGAATTTTTTGTAAAGTTGAGTAACTATCTAGGGAAGTTTGGCAAAGTTCAGTGACTGTTTAGGGTATTAACGAAGTTCAGTGACCTCCTAAGAACTTATTGCAAAGTTCAGTGACTATTTAGGGAACTTTTGAAGTTTGTGTAGGGTATTAACACATTTGTCATCTCATCTTTGTTGTCCACAGTTCCCTTTCTCATCATAGCTACAAATTCGTCGTAATTAATCCTCCCATCCTGTGCAGTAAAAGATGGATTAAGTCCCCTAATGCGCGAACTATTATAAAAATATATTGACAAATAATTATAAGGGTCTGTTTGATTGTAGGTGTGGAAAATGGGTGGAAAGAAAATGAATTCCAGGAAAAATAATTGCCTAGAAATTGTTTTCCAGTGAATTAGAAATTAAGTGTGTTTAATTGGTATAATTTTTCACCCGAAAAATTTTTAAATTTTGTGTTTGTTTGACTTTATTTTACATGAAAATTGTTTATGAAAGTGATAATCTTTTCCACAATAAAATTTGTTTCCATTGCCAAAAAGTAAAAAAAAGGAAAAAAAT